CTCTTCCAGTTCCAGATCTGTGATCTTGTGAAAATTACTCTTTCTCAACAAAAGGACCAATTAAATATCCCACTGAAACTCAGAACTCAGAAACCTTTTCCATAGAGTAAATAACGCCCCTGGGAAAAACTGACTGTATTCCTTGATAATGAATCAACATTTTTAATATTCTTACTGGTTGTTGCCTCTTCTGTTTGCTTAGTATTACTTCTTTAAGCTTTAGTGAAAATAAGTTATAATGGTGTATATCCCAGCTCAATTTTATTACATCAAACCCTTGAGTTCTATTTTATTTGAAAAAAAAAATTTAAGTGAAAGAGTTACAAATGAAAGTCAGTCATAAAACTTTTTTCACCTGTGCCTAGAAAAACACATTATTATAGATTATAAACTCTTTAAGGGTAGAGATTGTCTTTTGCTTTTCTTTGTATCACTAGCATTAGTACGATAGACAAGTACGAGGCCCTTGATTGATTATCTTCAAATATGATTTTTATATAAGAATAATGAAGAAAACAGGGGTTCCTTAAGGATTATACCATTTGAAGTGAATTATTCTAATAATATATCTATATCAGCTGACATTTATTTAGTATAGAGGTTATCAAACTACATGGTTCAGGATCCCTTTCCACTCTTAAAAATTACTGAGCATCCCCGCCAAAAAGCTTTTTTGTTTATGTCAGTTATATCTATTGATAAATACCATACTGGAAAATAAGATCTCTTTGTATTATTATGAATGTTTTTGACCTTGTAGGTCCCCTAAAAGGGTGTTGGGAACTCTAGGGATCTCCAGATCATACTTTGAGAACTGTTGATAAAATACTTTAAGCTTTTCAAAAGACTTTACATAAAAATAATATTTTAGCACAATTAATTCCTGAAATTACAAAATTGAACGTAAAATAAAAGGGTCATAGGAGTTAAAATTTGTAGTTCATTTGAATATTTATAATACTCAGAATAACTTAGTTGTCCACAGTTGTTTTTTGAACAATTTTCTGTATTAAATGTTCTATGGTGTTTAAAAAGGTTTGAGAAAATAATTTCTGGATAATTAAAGCATTTTATCAATAATGCCAGCATTTTAATAAAAGGATGGTCATTTGGCTATCTTTCTCTTAGACCAATGGCCTTTCATGGCAATGGGTTCACAGTTTATATGCCCTTTGAAGAGTAGGTGTTTCTGAGGGTGGCAAATAACTCTGATTGGTTAGCAATTAATAACAGAATGAATATTACAATGAGAAGGTGGGCTATATTACAATGGGGGTCTTGGGGTATATGACTTGGGTCACCCAAATCTGGTTAAAAGGACTTATCATATTCCATATCACCTGTCTGACAAAAGGGAGAATCAACACTTTCTAGAGCTGTCTGAGCAAACACAATGAGCAGGAATAAACCCATTAGGCCAAACTTAGAATTTCTTTTACTGTCTTTGATTAGATCTTGGCCTAGGTAAATCTTGCCTAAATCGTAGGTAAAATTGGGGTTAAGTGACTTGCCCAGGGTCACATATCTGGTAAGTGTCAAGTGCTTGATCTGAGGCCGAATTTGAACTCAGGTCCTCCTGACTTCAGGGCTGGTGCTCTATCCACTGCACCACCTAGCTGCCCCCCAGGTAAATCTTTAAGAGAGATTTCCTACACTGGTTGGTTTCTGGATAAGGAAGTAAAAAAGAGGAAAAACCTTGGTCCTAATACAATAATTAGTTCTTAACACCAGAGAGAAACAATTATTTCTCACAGTTCTCTTGGTTCTGCTCATTTTACTCTCAATTATTTCGTGTCTTACCATGTATTTCCTGAAATCAACCTATTCATCATTTCTTACAGCACAGCAGTATTCTATCATGATCATGTGCCACAAGCTGTTTAGCCATTTCCCCAATTGACAGGCGTCCCCTCAACTTCCAGTTCTTTATCACCACAAAGAGAGCTGCTATAAATACTCTAGAAAATATAGGTTCTTTTCCTTTTCCTGATCACCCTGGGAAACAGATCTAATAGTGGCAGTGCTGGGGCAAAGGCTATAGACAGTCTTTTTAAACTCGTTGTGCAAAATTCCAGACTGCTCTCCAAAATGGTTGGATCAGTTCACAGTTTCACCAGCAGTGTATTAGAGTCCCAGTTTTTCCACATCTCCTCCAACACTTGTCATTTTTCCCTTCTGTCGTTTTAGCCAACCTGATAGGTGTGAGAGGCTATCTCAAAGTTGTTTTAATCTGCATTTCTCTAATCAATAATGATTTAGAGCATTTTTTCATATGACTATATATAGCTTTGATTTCAAATATATATATTTTCTATATTACTCTCTATATAATCTCTATTACCATAGATAGAGAGTCATACTTTCATATGATTATATACAGCTTTGATCCAAAGACTTTGACCTTTTATCAGCTGGGGAATGACAAGATTTAAAATCTGAAGAAAAGTGGAAAGAATATTGGATCTAGTATTAAAGATCTGTATTTAAATTCCAATTCTGCCACTTAGCATTTCCTCATGTGTAAAATGATGGTCGAACCCAGTGGCCTCTACGGTCTCTTCCAACTCTTCCAATTCTACATCCCTACTTATGTGACCTCAAGAAAGTCACTTAATTGGGTAAGCTTGAAATTTTCCAGAGGAGGGCAAGTGGGATGGGAAGAGGACTTTAAGACAGTGTCATTTGAGGAAGGATCCATCCTAGCAGCTGGAGATGTCGAGCCTAAAGATGAGAAGACTTAAGGGAAATGAGTTAGCTATTTTAAAGTATTTCAAAGGCTGTCATGTGGAAGAAAGATTAGTCTAACTCTGTTTGCCCCCAGACAGCAGAATTAGAATTAATGGGTGGAAAGTGCAGAGAGGCTTGACTCAAGGAATAACTTCCTAACAAGTAGAGCAGCCCAAAAGTGGAATGGGTTCTCTCAAGAGGGATATTCTCCCTCACTGGGAGTCTTCAAGCAAAGGCTGAAATGACCACTTGTTGAATGTGTTGTAAAATATTCTTGTTAAAGTATAAGTCATAATGACTCTGAATGACTCTAGATGGCCCTTCCATTGCAGAGATTCTATGATTCTGTGAACCTCTCTGGACCTGTTTCCTCATTTGTAAAATAAAGAAGTTAACTTAGCTAGTCTGTAGCTTTAAATATATAGTCATATAAACATCTGAAATAACAGCAAATAAAACAGGTCTGCCAGCAAATGTTTCACCATATAGATGAATTCATAGCTCTTTGGATAATTATTTTTTGACTCAACTTTAGAATTCATTAGTGGAAGGAACTTCCTTTACAAGCTTGCAACTTGACTGCCTCGGGTACTGAGAGGTTAAGACAGTCAACAAGCATTTATTAAGCACTGGGGGTTACAAAGACAAAAGAGTCCCCACCCTCAAAGAGTTTCCATTCTAACAGGAGAGTGACAGGTGAATAACTAAGCACATAAAAAGATGCATTGTAAGAAGGTAATCTCAAACAGGAAGGCTTTAGCAGCTAGGAAGACCAAGAATTGCGTCTTGCTGGAGGTGAGAATTCAGCCGAGTCTTAAAGGAAGCTGAGGAAACTAAGGAAAGGTGAAGCAAGCAGAGGATTCCAGACACTGTAAAGGCACAGAGATTGGGTGTTATATACGACAAAGTAGGCCAATGTAGCTGGATCATAAGGGGCCTGGAGGGGAGTACAGTGTAAGAAGGATGGAAAAGGGAAGAAAGGGCCAAGTTATAAAGAGCCCAGGATCAAGGGCCAGTACATGGCTAAGTTAGGACTGGAACCCCAAGTCTTCCCAACTTCCAGGCTGGCTCTCTAATAATTTGCTTCTTAAATAGTATTATTATGCTTTTGATATCATTGATCATATTCATTGCTTACTTGTTTCAAGGATTTATGAATCTAAATATTTATAGTTGATTTGAAAAGGCTTTGGGACATATACAAATATGTATATACACATATACATACACACACATATATACACACATGTACATACATAAATACACACATAGATACATACATATACACACAGAGAGATATGGGCTATACCAAAAATCTTAGAGCAGTTTTAAGTTTTAATAGCTTGAAATTGTACCAAGATTTGAGATGTAATCCCTCTGCAATTATCTTCCATTTACAATGTATACATCTTATGCATAATTTTTTACATTTTGTCTCTCCCATTATAATGTGAGCTCAAGGGTAGGGGACTGTGTTATTGCCTTTCTCGGCATTCCCAGCATTTAGCACAATTCTTGGCACACAGTAACAAATATTTGTTGACTTAATATCATATTTAACATTCTCTCTCAATCTCTCTTCATATGTTTGTAAAATATACATATACATATACACACATTTTGTTTATGTTTTTGTGCAGTCATTTCAGTCATGTTCAACTCTTCTAAGTCCACTTGGGGTTTTCTCATCAAAGATCCTGAGGTGGTTTGCCATTTCCTTCTCCAGCTCATTTTAGAGATGAGGAAACAGAGGCAAACAGGGTTAAGTGACTTACAGTATGTGTATATGTGTGTGTGTGTGTGTGTGTGTGTGTATACACACACATAGTGTGGGCATGTATGTTGTATGTATATCTTTTCTATGTGTAGTATACTCTATATATCATATGTGTAATATATATATACATACATATATATATACACATATATATATATACACACATATATATATATATATATATATATATAAAACATGTATTGTGTACCTATATATATGAGACTGTGTATGTGTGTATATACAGACTCACATTGTGGGTGTATGTATGTAATATGTATATATTCTGTCTATATATACACATGTACATATGGATAATAGTATATTTATATATATATGTATATACATACACATATATTACGCATATGTCTGTGTATGTTCACACCCGTACATGTAATATGTCTGGAATACTATTTCCTGGTAGAAATCTGTGAGTTTTATAGATCTGTAGTTGTCAGAAAATTCACATGTTGTTGTTATTTGTGCTTTTATATTGCAGTTATGGAGAAACCCTCTTTAAAAGAGACTTCTTTTGCTATGAATATGAACTCTGACCACACACGCAAGACCGTGTGTGTGTTTGGAACAGGAGACTTTGGAAGATCACTAGGCAATAAGATGTTCCAATGTGGCTACTCTGTGGTCTTCGGAAGCCGAAATCCTGAGCTGTCTGGTCTGCATCCCAAAGGAATTGAAGTCTTGAGTTATACAGAAGCTGCCCAGAGGTCTGATCTTATAATCATAGCAATCCACAGAGAACATTATAATTTTCTTACAGAGTTAGCTGAGGAACTCCAAGGAAAAATATTGGTGGACATTAGCAACAACCTTAAAATTAATCAATATTCTGAATCCAATGCAGAATATCTTGCTGAACTGGTGCCAGGAGCCAAAATCGTGAAAGCATTTAACACAATCTCAGCCTGGGCACTCCAATCAGGAGCCCTGGATGCAAGCAGGCAGGTAAGATTAAATGATAAATTTGCTATCAAATATAAAGTGGCATATTTTATTTTTTAAAATAACTACAATTTAAACTCCTATCAAGAAAATATGGTGTATATATATGGTATGTAGCTGGGCTTCCAGAAGGATTTTTTTTAAAAACAGCTTTTGAATGGGCAAAAAAGAGACCACAGAATCCATACATTAAAGCTGATGCATTTTGCTCTTAAGAGAACCCCTTAATACCTCATGCGGTACCCATTTACACTTCTATCATAACCACTTGTAAGAAGCTTGCCTAATGGGGTTCATTTCCCCCAGCAGATTAAAAGCAGAAAATTAAAAAGGAGAAAAAAGACTGCTAGAGGTGATGATGATGATGATGATGATAACTGTGTAGCTCTTTAAGTTTTGCAAAGCACAATACAAGTATTATCTCATTTGATCCTCACAACAACCCTGGGAGGAAGGTGCTATTATTATCCCCATTTTACAGGTGAGAAAACTGAGGCACACAGTGCTTAAGTGACTTGTCTAGGACCACAAAGCTAGGAATTGTCTGAGGCTGGATTTGAACTATTCAAGTAGAGAGACTGACAGCCTGATATTGAGGAAAGAGACAGAGAGATTATAAAAACCAGATGGCCTCATGGGATCATAGATGCTGGAAGGGACTTGAGAGGTCACCTACTCAAACCCCTTCATTTTTCAGGTTAGGAAACTGAGGCCTGGAGCAGTTAAATTATCTGCCCAAGGTCATAGAGACAGTAAGTAGTAGAAATGGTATTTGAACATAGATAGGTCTTCTGACTCCAAGAAGGCAATGGATGGATAGATCCATAGTCAAGAAGACCTGAGCCTCAGACACTTCCTAGATGTGTGATCCTGGGCCAATCATTTAACCTCTCTCTGCCTCAGTTTCCTCAACTGCAAAAGGGTGATTATAATAAATAGTATCTACCTCCAGTGTTATCGTGAAGATCCAAAGAAACAATTATTTGTCAAGAATCTAACATGGTGCCTAGCACATAGCAGGCACTTAATAATTGTTTATTTCCTTCCTTCCAAATCCAGCACCATCTCCACTATAGACAACTGCCTATAAATATAGCAAGCTAGAGATGATTTCACCAAGGCAAATAACACCGTCCATTCCAACAGTTCCTGAGGCATCACAGTATAGAACAAATCAGCTGATTCCAACAAGCGCTTATTAAATACAGACTGTGTGCAAATCAGTGTTCTATTCGGGGTCAGCAAATGATAGGCCCCAGCCCAAATCTAGCCTGTTTCCTGTTTTTTGTCTGACCCAAGAGCTAAGAAAGATTAACTCTAATCTGGATGGGGAAGATTTTAAAAATATTTTATTTTTTTCATTTACATGTAAAAAGCAATTTTTAATGAAGTTGGGTTGGTTTTTTTTTAGAGCAGTCTCTTCTCTCAAGAAGACTTTTACTTTGTAGTCAAGAAAAGGTTAACTGCTTTGCCAGTTAAGAAGATAAGGGAAAATATAAGCCATTTCAGAAAGTTTTCCAGAATGGTTAAAATCAAACATTTGGGTACTTTAACGGAATAAACCTCCAGTAATCCAAAACACTTGGCTACCCAGAATAATTTATTACCTGAAGTTTTAATGTACTTCTTAAGCAGTCTGAAAAGTTATTATATCTAGTGAAAATTGAGTAAGATGATGCATCTTTAAATAGGATAGGTTAGAAGTCGAGAGATACAAAGGATAAGCAAAAATGTAAAAGCCCCCAGGAAACAAATCCAGAAAATGGATGGAGCTGGTTTACCAAGGAGGTTCTTTGGAGCATAGAAAAATACATCTGTTCTCACTGAACATTTCATTCTGGTGATAGAGAGTAGATTATATACTTTTTCTCATACCTGACATGAAGGACACTCTCATTTGTATAAACAATCCCCTTTTCTCCCTACCTACACTTTGAACTGGCCTTTCAGTTAAGTGGGACCCAGGATCTACACAAAGTAATGGTCTGTTGCCATTATTACAAAAAGGCAGGAATGGAGGTGGGAGGAGAAGTGGGGGGGAGGTGGGGGAGAGCCATGTAGAACTATGTAGGTGTGTTAGTAGGGCTAACCTGTTCATGACTGGAGTGACTCAGGTCTAGTAACAGCAGAATAATGTTACCTGCAGTCGTCCACCCTCTATAATGCCTTCCCTTAATCAAATATATACACACACCCATGTACGTTTTAAAGAAATATTTTACCTTGGATTACTGTCCCAAAATATGTTGAATCCAAAATGTCAAAGGGATTCATACTATATTATTAATTTTTCTAGTAGCTTCTTGGGAAATCACCAAGGATTTTAAATTCTAAAGGGCATCACTTGTATATAGGATCTTAATACCTAGTTTTGGACAGCGAGGAGATAACATTGTGAACATTATTTCATCCAGGCATTTGTCTGTGGAGATGACAAGGAAGCCAAGCAGAGGGTGATGGATATTGGCCGTTCCATTGGTCTTACTCCAATGGATCAAGGATCTCTCAAGGCAGCCAAAGAGATTGAAAACTACCCCCTGCAGCTCTTTCCAATGTGGAAATTCCCTCTATACCTCTCCGCTGCCTTATGTGTTTTCTATTTTGTTTACTGTATGTTAAGAGAAGTCATCTACCCCTACATTCAAGAAGAGAAAGACAACACGTTTTTCTTGGCCATTTCTATTCCAAATCGTATCTTCCCAGGGTTGGCTCTCAATCTTCTTGCCCTGGTTTACCTCCCTGGGATCATTGCTGCCATCCTGCAGTTGTACCGAGGTACCAAATATAGCCGCTTCCCAAACTGGCTTGACCACTGGATGCTTTGCAGAAAACAGCTCGGACTTGTGGCACTGGCCTTTGCCTTCCTCCACGTCATGTACACGCTTGTGATACCCATCCGCCATTATGTGAGATGGAAGTGGAGCAGCAGAATAATTAATCAGGTAAATCTATACTTCATTTGCATAATTGTTTAAAAAACATAGGTCATGTTCCATTTCTGGTAATCCTTCTTCTAAGCCTCTAACCCTTTGTATTCACAAATGGTAACCAGACTCAGAAAACCTGGTGGCCTTCAGAATGAGATTTTGAGGCAGAAAGCCTGAATTCAGTCCTCACCATGTGAGGTTCAGCAAGTTGATAGCTCTGTGTCTTGCTTTCCTAATGTGTGAAATCAAATTAATAATACTTACTTGAGCCACTTATTTCAGAGGATTAAATGAATGAATTTAAGGGAATTAAAGTGCTATGTAAATGCAGGTTATATTATTTAATTAAAGTAGCCCTGACTTCCAGACACTTTTCTGGATAAGATTATCCCTCCTCCAACCCTCTCACCACGGACTATACCCACTCCTCCCTTCTCTCTCATTCCCTCACTCCCCTTTCTTTCCCCTACCTGCTCCAGCTAAGGGCTAAGCTAGGATTAGACTGGTGTTTGGGGACAAGAGAACCGAATTGTAAGGTCATCTTGGTGACCCACATTTCCTACTGAAAATGAGCTTTGATCCTTGAGTTGTGAAAAACTGGTCCCCCAACTTCAGAAAACCAGCAACACAGAGCCAATATCAAACTCTTTGTCCAACACAGAGGATCAAAGTTCAGAGGGGACCAACTGTGTAGGCTGAGCAGAGGCACCGTGACTGGTTAAGTTGTAGAGAGGGACAGAGTAAGTCAATCAGTCAGTAGCACTTATTAGGCACCTACTGTGTGCCAGGCACCATGCTAAGCACTGGGGACACAAAGAAAGGCAAAAACAGTCCTGATCTCAAGGAGTTCACACACAGTTAGATAAGGGTGGAAAGATAAGATGGTACCAGATTGTGGGGAGCCAGGCTAAAGAGCTAAGACTTTATTCACAGAACAAAAGAGAGGCACTAAAGTTTTTTCTGATGCAGCAGAGTAACATGACCTCCAGTTCAATGCACTCTCCTCATCATCTCTGATTCATGTAGCAAGATTTGATATATATAAGGCACCTTAAATATATATAAATTATATAAAAATATATAAATATATATCATCTGAGCCTCAACAACCCTATAAGGCATTACAGGTAGTTTATCCCCATTTTACAGATGAGGAAATTGGTTCATTGAGGATAAGTAATTGGTCCATGGTCACATCAAGATTATTCAGATACTGACAGTCTTTGGTTTTGGGGGAAGAGATCATGGAGTCATAGTCTCAACAGCTATTAATAAGGACTCATATGAAGTAGGGTGGTAACCACAGGAGATGAGAGGATATGCCAACAGGACTTCCCATTCAGGTGGATATGCCCTTCAGGCAAGTTGGAAGTGCCAATCTAGAGCTCCAAAGAAGTCATAACTGAAGATGAAGATTTGGGAACCATCTTTATAGAGATGGCAGTTGCAGCTAGAGGAGCAAACAAGATTGATCCTGGAAAGAGTGTAGAAAGGGAAGAGAAGAAGATGAAGAAGAAGATGAAGGACAGTTCCTGTTAAGAGCCTGGGAAGAGGACAAGGAGCTAGCTAACAAAAGGACAGAAAAGGAAGTTAGTGAGTTAGGAGAACTGGGACAGTGGGATTTCTCTGAAGCCCGAGGATGAAACAGAACCCATCCAGAGAGGATAGCCAACAATGTCCAGAGCTGCTGACAGGTGAGACAAAGTGAGTGAAAATGTTTTAAAGGCCATTAGATTTTCTGTGAGCTGCAGAGCAAACAGCTAGAGAAGATCTGCCAGGTCTTGAGGACTGGTGATCAGGACAATTCAGAAGAGGCAGCAGATAGATTCCTATAGGTCCTATCAGGGAGGAAAGGAAAGGTCCTCAGAACCCAGCCATTACTACTTTTTCCATGGGATTAGGTAGTGCCCCTTGTCCTATCAATCACCAGCCACTTGCCCTTCCTAATTCAAAGGAATCCAGCTGATCAGGCCCTACATATGCCGTTCAAGCCTCTGGGAGAGTGCATCAATCTCTTGGCCTTTCATGAAGTTCTCCAAGGAGATTCTGACCATGCTATAACCAGGATCCCAAGAGCACCAATGACCATAGTCTTTCAGAACCGGTTTGAGATCTCCTTGCTCTATTCACTTCTGAGCCATGGGGAAAAGCTGGTGTCCTTGAATTGTTCTCTAAAGCCACACAGCAGCAGCAATCTTGCAACATGGACAGACGTGGTGGTTCTGGTTGCCTGGGAGATATCCCACATGTCCACAGCTTCTTCTGGCAAAGCCACTCACTGTCCCAGCCACCTCCTCTCCCTGTTCCGCCATTATATGGACAAACAAACAGTATAGCAATTAGAAGCCAGAATGGACTATATCCCTGTTGCCACCAACCTGACTTGTTTGGGAAAATTATCCTGCCCACCCACATACCATACCATACAAAGGGCTGAAGAAGAATGGAAAATTCACTGAAGGAGCTGTGCCTTTACCACTTATATGAAGGCTTTTTTGATTTTCCTCAGTAAATGCAATGGGGACCCCAGGTTTTTTACCCTTCTCCTAATGAATACAGAAACCTAGAACCTTCAGGAAGGGAGAGCCAGGCAGCTCACAATTTAAATTACACCGCTCATACAAAACTAAAAAAAACAACATTATATCGATGAGTCTGAGGCTGCCTCTAATAATGCCAGGAAAGAGTCTAGTTTGTCTGTTGCATTATTGCCTGAGAGGTTCAGCCTTATAAGATTAGTACCATGGCAACTCTGGGCCCAGTAGCCGAGGATTCAGGTAGGTTTTAGAAGGCCGTTATTGACTTGAAAGAGCAATTTCAAAAGAATGATGAGTACACAAGTCTGGTTATTAGGGGCTGAGGGGGGAGCAGGCAATGAACAAGTAGACATATTTGGCATAAATATCTCTCTTTGCCCCCCCAAAAAGACTGATGCTAAGGAAAGGAGAGAGATGAGTAAGTGGCTGAATGAAAGAGCCTTTTTAACAACTGAGCTTGTTTTTAGGAGGATGGGGAAGAGCCAATGGTATTCATATAAATAAATGAATGAATGAATGAAAAATCATTTTATTAAATGCATACTTTGTGTCAATGACTGTATGAAATGTTGGGAATATTAATAAAAAATAAAATGAAATTTCTGCTCTCAGGTAACATTCTAATAGGGAAGGGGGCTATAAAATAGATGGAACATAATAGCTATGGTTTATATAGTGCTTTATAGTCTGCAAAGAGCTTTCTATATTATTTCATTTTATCCTCCCTCACCTGGGAGGCAGGTGATCTTATTATCCCCACTTTACAGCTGAGAAAACTGAGGCAGACTGAGATTAAGTGACTTGCCCGGGGTCCCAGAGCTAGTAAGCATCAGAGGCCACATTAGAACTCAGGTCTTCTGGACTCCCAGTCCAGAACTCTGTCCACTGCGCAGGTAGATAATGGCCATTGGAATATTCTTATGGAAGAGATTAGGAGATTCAAAACAGAGGCACAGGTAGAGGGGTCAGTTTTAGTGACAAACAGAAATACCTCTGTGACCAGAGGGAAGGGAGAGTGAGTGGGAGATGACGGGGAGAATTTTAAGGAAGGGAGACAGGTGACTGGACACAAATGGGATGGCCTCCATCTTTTCAACCAGATCATCTCATAGAAATGCAGTGGGTATGGCTAAGGATAGGAAAAGATAAGACACCTGAGTAGTTACTGTGGGGAATGAGAGAGGGGGCTGATAAAAGTATACTTAGATTGTTGAGTAGCAACAGGGCCCAAGTCAGGCTATGTGAACAAGACTTTGTAGTGGGGAATCACAGCTCTATTTTGTGACTTTCTCTCCTTATTCCAGTAACAATACTCAAACAAGCAAATAATTTTCACATTATCTATGGTAGCTATGGAGACTTCTGATTCACATTATGCTTCCTCTATATACTTAATAATGTTTTTTAATGAGTTAGAAAGGCTTTATAATCACCTTAAGACACTAAACCCTTCAAAACTATCATCAAAAGCAGAAACAACTCTTGCAATCTGTCATTTTTAAACTTCTTATTTTTTCTTAGATAAAAAACAATAAGACTGATCCTTTCAACACGACCACTGCCTGGCTCAGCGATTCTTACGTAGCCCTGGGCATACTGGGATTTTTTTTATTTGTCCTTTTGGGAATCACTTCCCTGCCATCTGTCAGCAACACGGTCAACTGGAGAGAGTTTCGATTTGTCCAGGTAAGGACTTTCAGATATGCCTTCCTTTTTTTATTCCTTTGAAATAAGTTATTAATCATACTGAAGAAAGAAGTTTGGTTCTGAATCTGAAACCATGTCCAGTAGAAAGCAGCACTCAGAAATGTTTGTTGATAACAAATAACCCTGTTATCATTCATGTCGATGTAAATGGTATTTCGGGTATCACTGTGTTTTTTCCGTACAGTCTAAACTCGGTTACCTGACACTGATCTTATGTACAGCGCACACGCTTGTGTTTGGTGGGAAGAGATTCCTCAGCCCTTCTATTCTCAGATGGTATCTGCCTTCAATTTATGTGCTAAGTCTCATCATGCCCTGTACGGTGCTGGTCTTGAAGTTCATCCTGGTAATGCCATGCTTTGATCAGCCACTTACAAGGATCCGGCAAGGCTGGGAAAGGAACTCCAAAGTCTCTAAAAAGGCCCAGTTAGGAAATGGCAAAAATGAGGTGTGAAGTAGCTAACGAATCAGTTCATCATGTCATTACCACTGAGACTTCCCAGCAATGGACTTGAATGTTTACTGTAAAGTGTGCTTTTCTTCCCTAAGCCTTCCTCTTCTGCCTCTCTCCAGAGTATAAAGAACAGGCAGGGGAGGACTTTCTGCTAGGAAGGCCCCAAGAAACAACTGGACATTTGGAAGAAGAGATCCACTCTTCCTTGACTTCAACTTTGATGCCAGGATATGCAAGAAGTTTGATCTCTCTCTCTGTCTCTGAAAATTTAATGTCACAAAGCCACCCCACTTTCCTCAAAGGTTCCACAATTTCACTGGGTAAATGGGGGATCCCTCTATTGAACCACATAGTGACCTCTACTCTCTACATCCTACCTACCCCCAACATCTTAATAGTCTTCATAAGTTGCTACAGGAAAAAAAATCAACACCTAATAACCAGCCTCTGGCATTGATTATCTCTAATCTTATCTAAGCTAGTCCTCATACAATACACTCACTGTCCATGACCAAGTCCCTACTAACTTGATAGAACCTGCCAAAACTTGTGTGCCCTGCTGGCTTAGCTTTTTAGAACCTAATATGTTTTGAGTATTAGGGAACATTGAAGAAAAACCTTCATGGAAGACAGATTCCCTAGTGTATATATTATTTCATAGGGAGAAACAATCTACTGTGATGGAAGGGGCTGGAAGAAGAAAATCGCCCCCCCATCCTCCTTCCCCCCACAAAAAAAACCCACAGAAATGAGGTGGAGCCAGATAAACAATGCTGTACTGTTTTATCATGGATCACAGTGGACTCATTGCTTCAGTATGTTTCATTATTTGCATGTGTCCAAGTATCACTCATGGCTGACTACATGTAATATTATCTTCTTACACAATCCACAGTGATGCTAGTCACCGTAACTCACCAAGACTCATCTTTTTTGTAAACAATGAAATGTAATATGAAAATTAAACACTGGTAGACCTAACTGGGGATTGGTTGAAGGAACAGTAGGTGTTTAAGCCTACAAAAGAGAGGACAGTTGGGAGATGGAGCTGCCTTCAAGTTTTTTGAACAGCTAAAATGTAGAAAAGGGATTATACAGATACGTTCTTGTCTCCTGAAAGCAGAGGAAAAAACTAGAAGGAATGTGGAGGTGTAATGGTAAGAAAAAGTTTTAGCCACCAGCTTTAGGGGGGTGAGGGGAAGCACTTTAAAGTTAAACAGTATTATTAACCTTTTTTCATCATTTTCTTAAGTTGGAATAATCAACAAAACAATAAATCAAAGTATGATTTGTAGAATTTTGCCAATTTCTGAGGTATCAGTGCTTATACTGAAATTTTCACTATCAGACAGTCAGAGCCTGAGCCAGCATACCTCTGGACAATGGGTAGAAAGTGCAAAGGGGCACATTGTGATTTGGTGTCAGGGGAATCTTCCTCATAGTGAGAGCTGGGAGTTCTCCTCTAATTAAAGGTCATCATGGACGAGCCGGATGACCACTTGTTTAGTAGGCTGGGCTGGATCCCCTGTACCTACTACGTGCACATAGTAGGAGCTTTTAATAAATGCTTGTTGATTGACTCTGTTTTTTCAAGCGTGGTTTGCATTAGGTGGCCCGCCAAGCTGCCTTCCAATTCAAAAATGCTTAGATTCTGTGAATCATGGATGACTGGGGATTATGGAAGGTTCCAAAGCATTTAGATATGGTGGTGGTCAAGAAGAAACAAGACACGGTAGGAACACACTGGAGGAAGAAGCAGAAAAAAGATTTAAAATTAAAAAAAGGAAGGAAAGAGTGTCCACATTATAAAAATACAGAGTAAAAAACAAGTTTTAAAGGAAACATGAACAGGACAGTTTTGTTTTCAACATGATGAATTCTATGTACATTTTTTTAAAAGTAAACTGCACATAACAAATTTACTGTTTCATATATATCTTTTTTTATTTGTATATTAAAATATTTTTCTTTGATTTGGCTCATAAAAACAAATAAAATTTCAAAAAGAAAAAAAATACTGGACTTTGACTCCTTGGTTCCCTCATCTGTAAAATAAGAATGCTAATGCCCAGTCTACCTACTTCACAGAGTTGAGGTGTGGCTCAAATGACAATGTATGTGAGCAAGTGTCATAAACTCCAAATGGGCAATTGCTCAGGGGTCCTGGAAATAACACAAAGGACCCTTTCTGGAATCCTTGATGGGTTACAAGCAGTGGTGTCAAACTCATACAGAAATGGATCCCTGTTGCCTACAGCTTGTTGACGTAGAAAACCACAAATGAACGTTACCTGTTGGATTTTGCAAACTCCGCCAGTTTGACATTAAGGGGTCAGAGGACAGTTCACATTTATTTCCTCTTTATACTAAGCACAGTGCTTGGAGGAAGTGGCAACCCAGTGTCACACCACATACCACACACAAGTGGTAGTAACGCTCTACAGTTAGTTCAGTACATTATATCAAGATGGCGGTTGCTATCCTACTTGGTCTCACAGAATGTACTTAAGGACTCAAGGAATGTACTTGGGCTCCCCAGTTGCCAATCCCTGATCTTCTGTCATACTATATCATGAGGGAGTATAGACTTGGCAAAGTACATTAGGTAACTGACTACTTCCTGAACTCCCAAAATGGCTTCTCCTACAAATCCTACCAAATGAAAACCCATCTGGTTAGCACACGCCTCTTTCAAAACACAAATACTTCTGAGTGGGTAAAATCTATCAAATGGTTGTATTTCAAGATTGACTTTTAATCTGACTGGTTTCCTAATTGATACCAAACTCCTAGGAATTAAGAATCTTGGGAGAAAGGAAGGGAAGATTCTTTGGGAATTGTATAGTGGAAGGCAGCCTGGGAGAGAGTCTTCACGGAAGGTCTTTGGAGTCAGAGGATAACAGTCAGTAAGCAAAAAAACATTTATTAAATATCTACTGGGTTAGTTAAGGGAGCTAGGTGGCACACAGGATAGAGTGCTGGGCCTGAAGTCAGGAAGAGACAAGCTCAAATCCAGCCTCAGACATTTACTAGCTGTGTGACCCTGGGCAAGTCACTTAACCCTGTTTGCCTCAGTTTCCTCATCTGTAAAATGAGCTGGAGAAGGAAATGGCAAACCACTCCAATGTCTTTGCTAAGAAAACCTCAAATGGGGTCATGAAGAATCAAACATGGCTGAAAAGGACTGGACAACAACAAAATCAGACACGTTGAATGCCACAGCTTGTCCCTTGGTGGCACCACCAGAAATAGTATCAATAAGCTGGCTATACCCCCGGGTCAGATTCTTCTGGCTTTATACAGTCTTTTTCATAATACTGCATGCAAAGATTTCAATAGCATTCTTATGTGCTCAGTCATTAGGTCCTCCATTACAGTATCTACCTGAATAGGTCCTATAACATTTGGGTATTAACCAGTAGCACAAGTCCAGTGGCTGAATTAGTTTCTGCTGAGTCTGTCTCCATAGAAACTGCCATCTTAATCCTTCTACTCCAGTCTCATGTGACCCAGCTCTCCCCTTTCAAAGGCAGTTGTGTCAACATTTGTCCAAGTACTCAAAAAGCTTCTGATGTCTTGCCATGAGGCAAGAAGGTAAATAATTTCTTTCCCTTTTGCTTTCCTCTACTCTGATCGCCAGAGAAGGCATTTCTGCACTTCCCTGATGCCTCCCCAAGGTACACTCCGGTTACCACCCAGTTGGTTTAATGTCTTAACACTTTGAAAAACTTACTGAATGCGAAGAATGAAAAAAATGCTTTGGTGCCACAGCTCTCCTTGTCAAGATGTCAGCTCCAGAAGCAATTTGTGACAGCACTCATAGAACTCAAGAGGAAAGTCACAAGGCAGCCAATTGTAATTAAGATTTCTTGCCTCTGTGGAGGAGGAAAGTTCAGATCCAGTCAACCTATCTTTCTAAACTCATTATACATTATACCCTGCTAGATTGCAGGGACTCTGCTATCCAGCCAAAAAAACATTGTTCCTCCTTCCTAACCCCATTTCCTGTCTCAGTGTCTTGAAAATAGCCACCCTTCAGACCCAGAATACACTCGCTCCTCACCTCTGCCTCACAGAATCCTCTTTTCCTTCCAAGACACAACTCAAACAAGACCCACAAAAAGTCTTTTCTGATTTCCCCCACTTGCTAATGCTCTCTTCCACGCCTAACCTACATTTAACTACCTTGGGTTCTGTTGGGAAACATTTTATTATATTGTTCAGAAAACCTTATTTATTACTATTTGAACCTAGCTTGATGTGACTAGAAATTGGCAGACCTCAAGAGATGCTCCCAGGGAAGCCAGAAGGCTCTAAGGAAAGCTAGTATCCTATCCAGGTCTTAGGTCCACCCAATGCTTGTGTTTGGGGTTCCCCACCCCTTAATTTGCATGTTTATGCTTGATTAAACGCATCTCAATGGGCCTTGCTGGGAAGCTGCCCACACTACAAAGTAGCTTAAGCCCTACAGTGGTTTCAGTTTTAAAATTCTTCTCTGAAACCTAGTACAGAAACCTGTGAGACTGGAGAGGGAACCTTCTTTTCACCTTCCTCCTCTACCAAACAAACTCCTTGAGAGCAGGGATTACTTCATTTTTGTCTCTGTATCTCCGAGCCTCCTGGCCTGACACACTGTAGGCCAGTGCTACTCCAGTACTGTAACAGCATTTATTAATACTGCAGTAGGATTTGTTAAGATAATTGCTTGGCAAGCAAATACCTAGGAAGCAAACAAGGATTTGGTAAATGGACGCCTATTATGTATCTAGCACAACTGTTATTAGTAACTTGATCCTTCCTACTCATAAGTACTTTCATGAAACCAAGTACAGAGAAAGCGCTATTGTTTAGGTTCTTAACTTGGGGTCCAAATGGAGCTAGGCCCCAAAAAGGAAAAACCTTGGACTTTCTCACATGGCCAAATCTCTGGTGTTTGCCTGAGGCTATAATCCCATCAACTGGCCTTTCATTGTGGCTGTGTATAAGGTCCACCTTGTCTCCATTAAGATGCTTAGATTCTTAAAATCTAGCCACTGCTCAGATTCTTATAATCTAGCCACAGCTTAGATTCTTAAAATCTAGCCACTAGCTCACTAATGTTCAGACTTCTTAAGAGTCTGTCCAATATGATGGATGCTCTAATAAACCTTGTCTTTGCCTGAAAGAAGGCTTGGGTCAAATTCTTTCCGGCAGGATCCGTGTTGTGATATTGGGGTCCCAGCACCCCTGAACCCCTAAGCCTCATCACACAGACACCTCCTCAAGTGGTCCATAGATAGGTTCAGGGGATCCAAAACTTGGATGAGAAAAATACTTTGATCACAATATTTCAACAGAATTGGTTTCTCATTCAATCTTATCTATTTTATGCATTTAAAAAGTCTCTTCTGCAAAGAGATCTATAGGTATTGATGGGGTGATGGGACCTGGGCCCCTAAAAGGAAAAGATCATGTCTTTGAAAGTAACCCAGTCCCCTACATTTCAGTAGCCCAGATCACTGGCCTCTAACCAAGGCAACTGCCCCACCACCCTAGCCCACCTAGATCACTTAATTAGTTTACTTGACAGTCCTTTCCCTGTGGCTCTTGGCCTACCCCAGACTATTTACTACTCCTTAATCCCAATCTTTTCACTGTCCCTTATATAAGTATCAGTCTCGCCCTGCCCCCATTAAATTGAAGATTCCCTACTAATCTCCCCCACACTACAATAAACGTTGTCACTTGACTGAAAGAAGGTTTGAGTGTGTGAATTCTTTCCAGGCAGAAGCTGCCCTGTACCCTGACCTGTCGGGGTTCCCAGCAACCCCAAACCCCATCAGTATGACCAGACTAACAAAAGGGTCCATAACACGAAAAAATTCCCTTACTTTTTACAGGGGGAAGACTGGCAGAGAGACATGAAAGGAGGGCCAGGGAGGGGTGCCCAATGGAAAGAAGACTGAACTGGGAGTCCAAGGACTGAAGATAGCTTCTCCCACTCCCTAACTGGATGACATAGAAGCAGGTCATGCTACTTTTCTAGACCTCAGTTGAGGTCTTAAGTTTCTTTCCATGACTGACTAGACATCACACAGACAACTGTGAGCAACATATTGATCTTTCCCCTCCAGTATTGCCCTCCTCTCTTCTCCGTTTTCCCAGGGCACTCCTTTTTGAAACAGCTTCCAATCCCCATCATACTGCTAGGGGAGAGGGGTTTCTCAAGATGAAGTTGGATTTCTCTAAACCTTTGAGCCTAATTATATTTTTAGCCCTACCACTTCTTGAGGGGAGTGAGTTCCAGAGGACAGATGAGGCCCAGGGGCTTTCATGAATTACAGACAGAAAAACAAACAAAACCATTTGTGAAGCATCTCAGAGGCTCTACATTCAAATCCCAGCCCTATCACTTTCTGTGTGACCTAAGGAAAGTGGATTCACCACAACCAGACATCAGCTTTCTCATCTTTAGAATGGGTGACCTTGAACGTCATGCTCCAGGATTTGATTACCTGATTTATACCAAGCAGTACTTAGTTTTTGAATGTGAGTTGTTATTTAAGGTAAATCAAGTGGCACAGTGGATAGAGCACTGGCCTTATCTTTATGAGTTCAAATACAGCCTTAGACACTCACTAGCTGTATGACCCTGGGCAAGTCACTTAACCCTGTTTGCCTCAAGAAAGAAAGAGAGAGAGAGAGAGAGAGAGAGAGAGAGAGAGAGAGAGAGAGAGAGAGAGAGAGAGAAAGAGAGGGAGGGAGGGAGGGAGGGAGAGGGAGAGAGAGAGAGAGAGAGAGAGAGAGAGAGAGAGAGAGAGAGAGAGAGAGAAGAGAGGGAGGGAGGGAGGGAGAGGGAGGGAGGGAGGGAGAGAGAGAGAGAGAGAAAGAAAGAGAGAAAGGAAGAAAGGAAGAAAGGAAGAAAGAAAGAAAGGAAGGAAAGTAATAGGAAGCCACAGATATGGCTGGATCACCCTGGATCAGTCCTGGTCATTCTGGTGG